GTCTGGGTGTCAGAAAATTGTTATACATTTTTTTTTTTTTTTTTTTTTTTTTGCTTGTTGAAGCAGAATCCTGTTGGTCCATTTTCGTTTTCTGAGAAGCATAAAGCCTTCTAAAATTAGTTTGCCATATGTTGATAGATTAATATTTACTTCTTTATCAATCGAAACAAGCAACATTTTCCCACTTTCACTTCAGTTTTGTGCATGATTTATTATTAATTATTTACTTTTTTTTTAACACTGTACGAAGGTCGGGTTTTAAGCTAGTATATGTTATAATGGGATACCTGCAAGTGCCGTAGTGTGGGTATCACGATTCTGATTGGTTGTTGAAACGTGGCATTTGTTTACGTTAGCAACTGTTCTTTCCATTCTATTTCTAGTAAGCCAGCCCTTCAAGTACCAATTCTCTTGAAGTGATACATTCTATATTCTTTCACTAAGATTCTTATACAAAGATTTCAATTCTTTCCCTATATATTTCTTGCTTAACACTGAGACAGGCACGGAGTCATGTAGAACATAAACCAACTAATTATGCATCGAGGTTGCCAGGTACACAAAACAACAGTAAAATACATAAACAAATAATAAATCTTAGTTTGGTAAAAAATGCAGACGAGAAAGAATTATATTTCAAAAAATTCTATATTAGATATGGTGCGGTATTTAATTAATTTCCCGTTAATTAACATTCTAACTTATGTGTAGAAACTTAACTTAAACATTCCATTTTTCTTATAAACGATCGAATGGCACTGACGTCATAGGTCACGCGTGTGGGTATCCGTGATCTCTTGATATGCAAGTACCCAATTGATTAAAAAAACCTTTGTAATGTTCCACTCTTCATTAAACAAGCTCGAAAGAAATGATCTTCTTATAAGATTTTGCTCTTTTCTATCTTGATATATAGAAACTTTTAACTTTGTTAACTATTAGATGTGATCAATATACATTATGTTTTTAGCGTAATAAACTTTTGGTGAAAAGTGAGACCTTAAGAAGTTTGAAAATATTTTTGAAAAGAATTAAAACTCCTTTTTTTCTAATTTTTGGTTAGAATTTTGTTACTATTAAATTTTTAATTACGAATCTCGTTTTTTTTGTTGATGAAATTATTATATTTGATGCAAATAAATTAACCCAAAAGTTTCAATAATGAAAAATCCGTCAATTTTTAGGGTGTGGTAAAACTAGGCACATTCACTTCCAATGGTTAAGCATTAAAACGAAAAAACAGAGAAGTACTTCTTTGAAAGAAATGCTGCAAGAAAGTAGCAAATATATTAATTCATGAAAAAATAAAGAAAAACATAGAGAAGTGAAAACAATATTGAATTTGCTTAAACTATATGCTGGCGTTATATTAGAGCCCTTCACAATATTAAGTTTAAAATTTAAAAAAAAAAATCGTCATCATTAGGGTATACGAGCACCCCTCGTTATCAGAGTGCACAGCGTATGGTCATGCTTGTTACGAGGTCAACCACCTCAGAGTCCAGTGATCTCCATTCCTCTTTTAGAGCAGTTTCCAAATCTGAGAGTGGGGGGGGGGACTAGTACACACATCTCGGTCTAGGGTATCCCAAATATTTTCAATTGAGTTATTCGCAATCCCTACACACTTCAAATAGTCCAGGACTTCATCTCGATACCATACAGCCATCACAGAACCCTATCTGTAGATGAGCCGTTCGGTGCGTTATCCCTTTGAAATTCTTGACAGCCCAGACCATGATGCTTCCAACGCGGAATGTGTGATGTTCTGTGTGTCTTTCGTTCTCTCCAGACTCCTACACGCTTGTCATCGGGTTTCAGGCCAAATCTAGACTCATATGAGAAAATAACGCTGCATGAATCAGACACAGTCCAATTCACACGCTCGCTGCACCAATTCAATCGTGTCCTTTGTCTTCCGGAAGTCATCGAAAGAAGTTAGTTTGAGAAAAAAAAATTAAAGGTGTAAACCGTCACAGAGGCAGTTTCTTGTACTACTGCTTGATTTTCATAATTCTTGTCATAAAACCGTGATTGGCTGTTATCTAACATATTTGCATAATTCCTTCTACCTCTGCAACAAGTTACGTCTCGCAGTGAACTGATCGTTAAGACACGGTTCCCAACAGATCACCGAAGTCAAGCATTACTGACTGCGGTCAGTGTGCGGGTGGGTGATCACTTGGATTAGTCTGCGTAGGAACCGAGGGTGTGCGGTATTGTTCCTCGTTAAACTGTTCTACCGTAAAGTGCACGATTTCGCGTGCAGCTCGTCAGGCTACCGAAGCAGGGGTGCCATCCCCTCTGCAGAGGATCAAAATTGTGACGGCATGTCTTCGGATCATCCTCAGGGATGTTTCCCAGAACGTCGCCTATAGCTCCAGTGCTGCGTAAATGAACTACAACAACAGCGATAAGTTACAGTTTCTTTAATTCCTTCGAGCAATTGACATTTTTCTCTCCGTGCTCAACCTTTGGAAATGAGTGTACATATTAAAACTGACAGTAGTTCCAGTGTTAAAATAGTGCACAATAAAAATGGTAAGTAGGTACGTACTTTGTTTACGTCGCACTAGAGCTGCACAATGGCCTATTGGCGACGGTCTGGGAAACATCCCTGCGGATGATCCGAAGACATGCTTTCGCAATTTTGATCCTTTGCAGAAAGGATGGCTTCCCTGTTCCCTGCTTTGGTAGCCCGTGCCGAAGTCGAGCACTTCACGATATTACAGTTTGAAGAGGACAAATACCGCGCACCCTCGGTCTCTAAGGAGGCTGATCAGAGTGGTTACCCACCCTCTTATTTTATTTTATTTTATGACCGCCGTTGAACAGCCGACCCAATTTTTGGGCTTACGACTACTAATGTTCAACGCCGTAGCCTTGTAATTTTGAACCAATCCAGAAGACATGGAAACGCCTGGATCGGTACCCCCAGAGATATTGATTTGTTATGGGAACATGGAGGACTTTGAGACTCGACAGATTTAACGTGCATCAGTCACCATTTACTACACGGGGAGTCTTCGACCAGCAGGGACCGAACCCACGAACTCTTGGACATGGGCCCGGCACCCCACTGACCAGGTTATCCCGGCCTAGTACCATCCTCTTCTTGAATGCAGCCAGTGATGCTTGATTTCGGTGCTCTACTGGGAACCGAGTCTTTACGATCAGTCCACCGCGGACCAATAAAAATGGAGCTGCTTCTTTTTTACATCCAGATCCTTTTTTTAATAATGAAAGACTCTAACTTTTAGTTAAATAAGGGTAAAAACTCTGATTCAACTCTGTTTCAGTGTCGCCCGTGAGAGCGAGTTCTTCACTGGTTACGGTGGTGCTTTCATCTTGAGGCTCATCTTGAGTATTGGTTTTATCATCAGCGACTTGAGAGATATTAACTGCGGAGGGCGTAAAGTGCAAAGGAATACTAAGGGGATCCGTTTGAAAATGTGGAAATATTTCTGATGTTGTTAGTGGAGGTAGTTTAAAATCTTCAGTAGTGGATTGTATTTTCAGAGGAGTTTCCCTGCGCAGACTGATCCAATGGTCACCCACCCGCACACTGACCGCAGCCAGTGATGCTTGACTTCTGTGATCTGCTGGGAGTCGTGTCTTAACGATCAGTCCACTGCGGGACCTGAGTAGATGGATTAAAATTTAGAAAACTGTGAGTATCCATCAAACTTGGGTTATTGATATTTCGAAACAAGTATTTATTTTATTAGTATTTTATATAATCATTTATTTATTTATTTTTGGTTTAATTGGAATGAACTTGTGGCTTTAGCAACGTCCAAAACATTCTTCTTTCTGACGTATTTTTTTAAAAAATAAAGGCATTAATATAAAAATAATAAAATGTCAAAACCAATAAATTTTTAGTGTGAAAATGCTATTATGTGATGAAATACTTAAAATTGAATAATATACATTGTTTTTCGGCAAGATAATTTAACCTTAAGACTACTCCTTAATTGAGCCACTGTTTATTTGCAATTGTAGCTGCTACTTTTTCATTTAGAAAAGTAACAAATGAAATTCAAATCAAATATTATGTCACACAATGTTCAACCTTGTATAACAATCCATCTAATTGGAATTTTGTGTGAGTTGATACGCTTTGCGAAGATAGTGTCTTAGTACGTAACAATCCGATAATTCTAAATCAAAAATTATTACGTTTTTTCCCCCTCAGTATACTCCTATTAAAGTAAATTGTATAATTTTTATTTAGAATACCAAATTCTATTTGAAACTGTCTTTTAATAACTACCGTGCAACAGAAAAATCAACGAGAGAGACAAAAAATTGACAATTGAAATTTTTGTGTCTTTGGCACTCTTGTATGATAAGATACTTATTGCAATTTTTCTTTTTCTCCTAAGATAAGTATTTTTCAATAGTGTTTTGAAATTCTACTCTAGCGTTATAGAGCACTTACATTGTTTTTTCAATTGCAGGCTTGTGTATAGCCTCCTATCTGATACCTTGCTGATTAGTTTATAGACAATTACGAATTTCTCTTTTTTTAATTACCCGTTTAGACTAAAAATTTTTACAAACGATTTTTAAAAAAAAGCTAGGGTTACTTGTATTTGAATCCCAAATATTTTTTGAATCTTAATTTATAATTTTATTTCGGAGAAAATAAATTAAGCGAAAATGTTGAGAAAGAAAACAATGAAACTTGAATCTCCAATTACTTTTCAATTCAGTTTTTCTTCTCACTTCATCCTTTCATTTGATTTTAAAATAAAATTTTTTCTCCTATACATTTGCAATATTGAGCAAATAAATTAGTATATACTATGGCTTGTAATTAAAAGTTTACACCTTGTCAGCCTTACTTAAAGACAAATAGTTTAAATTTTCAATAAATACTTGTTTAAATAATCTATAAACATCATTAGAATTTTTTTTTTTTTTGAATGGAAAAAAGTAAAAGTCAATCAACACATTTTTCGGTACAATATAAATTTTATTTAACGATTGCATGCTATAAACATGTCAAACACTTATGATATTTTAAACAGCTTGTCTTAAAATCTAAAGTTGAATTAGATTATCTACCCCTGGATTGATTCTCGTAAAATGATATGAATTATTCACAATGTCAATGAATAAATACATGAGGAACTATCGTCACCAATACGTTAATTGTAGTCATACCATGAAAAGAGTTTGCTTTAGATTATCATTTATTAAATATATTTTTTATAATTTGTTACATAAATATATTTTAACTTCATACATTTTTATTCTTTTACTATTTATGGAAATAAGAATATTATATCTCAAATCGAGTCATTAAATTTGTGCTACTTCTAAAGAAAATATTTTTATTTTGTATAAATTTTATGTAATAGCAAAATCGATTTTTAACTCTTTTCATAGTATTGCAGCAGGGTAAATTTAACAGATATCACATCATAAGTTCATAGTTAACTTTCCAGCAGATTTTCTTCAGAAGATTCACCCGTTTGTCCGGATCTCCTGTTTCGAACATTTCTAATTATCAACTCGAGGTCTTTTCTGTCAATAGAACTCTTCTTTTTCTGTTTTCCTGCATAATCGATTACTATTATTTTTCTATTTTTCTTCAATCCGTCTTCGTCTTCTATTTCTGTTTCGCCGCTAAGAACTATTGGTGCAGAATTATGATTATGTTGCTTTCGATGGCGCCTTTTTTCAGGCCTTCTTGATCTCAGGGGATTGTGTCTATGCCCATTTTCGTAATCGTGAGAGGTTTTAATAGGTTGTGCACGAATGTCGATCTGTTCCTCTGAGTTGTTGGACTCATCTTCGTCTGTTGCAGGCGTCGTACTGAAAGACTTGTATCGTGGTTCATCTGTTGGTGTGAATCTGTAGTTTGATGGTCTTCTGTTTCTTCGTTCTAACTGTCGCATTACCTCTCTCACAGATGCTTTTTGTTCCTTTTGAGTACCGGAGATTCTTGGAGGTGATAAATTAGTATTTGGTTGCTCTTGTTCAACTTGATGAATACTTGTCAAATGTTTAGTTGGATCGTTTCTTGTATTTTCATCTTTGTTAAAAGAATTAGGCTTAATTTTATTTTGTTTTCGCCTTTGCTTAGAGTTATGTTGCTGATTTTCAATTTTATCATCATATTGTGGTCTAGAAGAATGTGTTTTACGACTGTTTAATCTTGTATCAACAAACGACCTTTCATCTTGATTTTCAATTTTATCATCATATTGTGGTCTTGAAGAATGCGATTTATGGCTGTTTAATTTTGTATCAGCATGCGATCTTTCATCTTGATTTTTAATTTTATCATTATATTGTCCAGAAGAAGGTGTTTTATGAGTATTTGATCTTACATCAACAAATGATCTTTCATCTTGATTTTCAATTTTATCAACAGATTGTGGTCTAGATGAGTGAGTTTTATGGGTGTTTAATCTTGTATCAACAAACGATCTTTCATTTTGGTTTTCAGTTTTATCATTATATTGTGGTCTTGAAGAATGCGTTTTATGGCTGTTTAATCTTGTATCAACAAATGATCTTTCATCTTGATTTTCAATTTTATCGTCATATTGTGGTCTAGATAAATGTGTTTTATGGGTGTTTAATCTTGTATCAACAAACGATCTTTCATCTTGATTTTCAATTTTATCATTATATTGTGGTCTAGGAGAGTGTGTCTTATGAGTATTTAATCTTGTATCAATGAACGATCTTTCATCTTGATTTTCAATTTTATCAACAGATTGTGGTCTAGATGAGTGAGTTTTATGGGTGTTTAATCTTGCATCAACAAACGATCTTTCATCTTGATTTTCAATTTTATCATTATATTGTGGTCTTGAAGAATGTGTTTTATGAGTATTTAATCTTGTATCAACAATTGATCTTTCATTTTGATTTTCAATTTTATCTTCATATTGTAGTCTTGAAGAATGGGTTTTATGGCTATTTGATCTTGTATCAACAAACGATCTCTGATCTTGATTTTCAATTTTATCATCATATTGTAATTTTGAAGAATGGGTATTATGGCTGTATGATCTCGTATCAACAAAAGATCTTTCATCTGTAGAAAGTTTTGGTGGTGAATAACTTATTGATTCCGGCCTCTTTTTCTGTAACTGGCGAGAATGATCTTCAGGTTCTTTCAATTTTGCCGCCTCTTCAATTTGTTGATTGTAAGAAAGTTCTTCTTGTTGGCGAATTTTTTGAAGTAATTGATTTTTAGCATGTCTTTTGTCAGCTTCTGAAAGTCCCGATGATAAATAATTGTATGTTTCTGGTCTTTTTAGTTTAAATTGATGAGCATACTCTGCGTAATCGTTTAAATTTCCTGTATTTTCTATTTCTTGAGGATTTCGATCATGATTTTCCTTTTGCAGATTATTTGACAGTTGTTTATTGCTTTGAATCATTTGCTCATCGAAAGATAGTTCGGATGGGGGATGATTGAAACTGTATGGCTTTTTTAATCTGTGTTGTCTTGGCGAATCGGAATATTCTGTCACTCTTTCATCATTTTGCTTTTGGCTGTTAGAAAATTCTGTTTGTGAATTTTCCTGGTTATCATTTACCATACTTCCTTCCTTTGTTTTCGAAGTTACATTCCGATTAGCTTTGATAAGCTTTATAAGCTGCGAAAGATCAACGACTGCTTTTCCGTTTGCTTCTCTATGAAGATTTTCGAGCTTATTGATCAGCTTGTCTACTTTACCATGATCGCCAGGCTTTGATTTTAATGAGGTTTCGTAACCATTTTGATAGTTCCTATCTTCGCTTATTTCACGAGATTCGGAGTAGTCTGCGTAAGGACTAGCTCTTTCATGATTAGCTTCTCTTAATTTATGTTCTAATACTTCTGTATACTTGTCAAGTGATCTTAGACTTTCTTCTGCGTTTTTTTCCTCGTTTCTATTTCTTAAATTGTTTTGATTTGGTGAATTTTTAGCTGTCTGAAAATCTTGTTGGGAATAAGTATCAGGTTTTTCTGTTTGTTTATTTCTCACAGTGATTGGGCCAGATGAAACCTTCCAATCCGATTCTTCTTGAAGAACATTAGGAGAAAATGATCTTATGTGAGCCAACGATTTGCTTTGGTAGTCTTGATCTAATATTTCCTCACTGTCAGCAAACTTCCATCTTCCTTGATCAATAAGCAAAGATTTCCAGGCATCGATAGCATCTTGCTTAGTGTTAGCTTCCTCTATGAAATCGTTTGGATACTGATGGTCTTGTGGGTTTTGAATCATTTGATTTTCTCCCCATAACGGACGTCCATCGAAATCATTTTGATACACATTTTCTCTTTCTTCCTCGTCAAATTGCTCCTCGCCATCTTGTTCGAAATTGTAATCTTCATTTTCATCATAATAATCATTATCGGTCTCGGTTTCTTCTTTTTGAGGATAATCGTAATCGTTATTTAACTTTTGATTTTCTTGAGGATGGTTTTCTTTGGGTGCATTTTCAGCAGAAACTAGTCGCCATTTTTCATAATCATCATCCAGTGTCCACACTTTCAATTCACCCTTTCCATCAGTCTGAAATTTAAACATTAAACTTATTCAAAGAGTATAAATAAGTTGCTTTAAATTGTAATGTTTTATTTTATAACCTTCGATCCAATTTTGAGATTACGACTACCGAGGTTCAACTCTTTGTAGATTTGAACCCAAACTAGAAGACAAAGGAACTCCTGGATCAAGTATCAGGAGAAGTTTGCCTTCGTGGAGGACCTTTTTGATTGCACTAACCCGTATTTGTGTTACACGAAGAGGAAAACCTTTCATGGTTAGACTGACAGCAAGGAGACTCTAACCCATGATTCGTCTACCACCGTGGATATTTTACAAGGATATTTTGAAGATAAGTACTGTAGTCGGGTGCGGAATTTGTATCGACCAGCCATCGAAGGGATAAGATCTCGGTTCACCTCATTGGGAGGCTAGCGCTCAAACCCCTGAGTTAGCACGTCCAAATCGTATTCTTTTGCATATTTAACAGGAAAAACCTTGCTTTTAATTTATTTATGCATTTTTTGAAAAACATAATGGCCAATAAAACTCTTTCAATACGTGGGGAAAATATTTTCTTACAAATATTTTTTTGTAACGAATATTGTTCTCATTCCATGAACAATCTTTTTACATTATTTTTTGCCATTTGCATTTAATCGAGGTTCGATACTTAGTGGTACCTTGTTACGAACATATTTATGGGTGTTGATGGGTGTCAACTTGTTCGTGAAGTAACAGATTGCTGGGTGTTAGCTTGTCTGTGAAGTAAAGGTGTCTGTCTTGTGCACAACGCTGATCACATTGCCATAATCATGCCGCTGATCATAAAACTGTGGAATCTTAACCTCCTTAGTTCGTCTGGCTTACAACGGTCAGTTCTGTTTTAAATTAACAATAAAAATGTCTTAATTTGAACTTTTTCAATACAATAATATTGCAACAATTTCTTTTTTTTGTGGAAGAAGCAAGAACACGAAGAATTTAATTGCAATGAATAGAAACTCCTTGATTTATTATAATTATAAATCTTAAATTGATCTCCTATTCATACTTTATTATTTTTAATATTACTTAAAAATCAATAAATGAAGTGGTCACGAGTACAAGATTGTACTTAGAGTTTTAATTGACGTTCAAAGTCAGTAAACGGTTTGCTATTTTTAACTTTATGATGTGTTAAATAATACTTTCATAAATTGTGTCACAGAAACTTCCATTTTAATGCGTATTTTGAAAATGGGATTTTCTCGCGCATTTTTGGTACTTATGCATTTTATGTTTGTGATAAATTGTTCACGCTTTTAATGATTATCATCATTTCTCATCTTTTTTAATTTGAAAGGGGTTGAAAAATTCACTACAACTTTCGGCGCAAAATCCTCTATAATCGGAACATTTCTTCTATCAATCATGGCATGAACTTAGTCATTGGTTATTGGCACTGACAATTGGTCATTCATTCATACAACACCATTATTCGGCATTGAAATATTTTTCATGGAATCTAATAAATCAAAACAAACTAATCGATTGATGGAACCTAATGCAAACTATGATATCATTCGAGTTCAGTTACTTTCTTTTTCGAAAATATTCAAATGTTTAATCTAAAATACAAGAACAGGTTTAAATATACAAAATGTTAAACACCAACTACGATTTTTGGTGCCAAAATAACAGGGTACCTAGGATCTGTGGAACCCTGATCTCAATAGAATTCAAACCTTATGACCTTATTATTATTAAAGAGTGCATGTTTCGAACATTAAAAATGGGAAAGGGAAAAAAATTATACTTACTTCCACATTGTTTTGATTATTTATTTGAGTCTCCTGGTTATTTAGATTTTGGTAAGTATCTGGTACAGCATCGTCATAAGTTGGAATATCATCCGGACTGGTAACACTCCATTTACCACCAGTATTGTGAATTTTCCATTCCAGTTTGCCATCTTCTCCATACAAGGACCACCCATCATGGTCTCCTGTTCCAATTATGGTCCATCGTTTTGATTCAATCACTGCTTTAGCTAGAGCTGGAGGTAAACCAGATAAATCAGTTTCAACCTGTCTTGCGTCAGATTGCGTTGATGGTGGCTTGTATTCTGAAGGTTCGTCAATAAAAGTCGAAGGATCATCTACCTGGATGTCTTCATACTCTGGTGAAGGAGGGCGGAAATAAAAGCTTTCACCATCCAAATTTTGTATTAAGTTAGTCTTGGTTGTAAATGACTCTGGAAAATCGGTTGATGTTTCGGTAAAAAGGTTTGGTACATCTGCTTCAAAAGTGTCTCTGAATTCAATTAAATAAGGAGAATCAGCTGAAGAATTTTGAGAAATGGATCCCAAGGGATTCAACTCTGTTTCAGTGTCGCCCGTGAGAGCGAGTTCTTCACTGGTTCCGGTGGTGCTTTCATCTTGAGGCTCATATTGAGTATTGGTTTTATCATCAGCGACTTGAGAGATATTAACTGCGGAGGGCGTAAAGTGCAGAGGAATACTAAAGGGATCCGTTTGAAAATGTGGAAATATTTCTGAAGTTGTTAGTGGAGGTAGTTTAAAATCTTCAGTAGTGGATTTTATTTTCAGAGGAGTTTCGTTTAGATAAGGAACGCTGGGGGTGAAAGAAACTCCTTCGGTCAATTTTTCAGAAGGAACCTAGTGTGGAAAAGTTATTCGAAATTACTTGACACATATTTATTGCTTAAAGGATTCTATTCATATTTCGAATATAAAAAATGGATCTAAAGACTCTTTTAAAGAAATTGAGTAGTTGAATATTTTGGACATATTGATGCGATCTCTTAACTGCTGGATGCTTTCCCATTTAACTGATTTTTCTTTATGTTATTTTGTGGAACGATACTGCTATGCTGAGAAATTCTATAACTCTTTACGACCTAGCCTGCTCTCATCTGTGAGGGTTAGATATTAAGCTAATATGAGCATAATGGTAATAAACTAATTTTAAAAGTTTAAACTGAGCAAAATTTTTATTCTCTAGCTACTATTTTAATATTAAAAATATCCATTACGAACATAAAATTACATCTTAAATTTCATAATATATTCAAACGAAATAACTTTTTTAGTACTTTTTATTTTTTAAGCTATTCATACAAGAGGAAATAAGTACTTTCATAATATAAGATCTTAATATAGATAGTACGTTCTATAGTCACCACCCCTAGTATGTAATTTTAGAATCTTTGTCAAAAAGTAAGTACTATCAGGGATCCCAAATGTGTTATTTAATTTAAGGTAAATAAATTGCAAATCAGTCTTGAGGAATGTGAGGTTAAAAATATCAAAACCAGATTGATTGCCGTGGTAAAGTAAAAAGTTAGCGATTGCGATTCACACGGGGCTTATCTTTTTAAGAAGAATGCTTTAAATATATATCAAAATGGCTATTATGGAATAATCTGTATTTAAAATTTAAAGTCGTTCTTCGAATGGGCAAGAGAAATCGTTTTTCAGATAAGTATCTTTTATTAAATTAAAAAAAACTATCTATTTTTACTTTAAAATACAAGGATTATATTTGCCCGATAAAATTTAATAAAGTTTACTTACAATTTCAGTATTTTTTGGAGTTACTTTTTGATGCTGAGCATCTTTGATGTAAGAGGTATTCCGAGTTGGTGTCCAAACGCTATTTGGGATATTCAATGGTTCTTCTTTGCCTTGAACTGACCATCGGTCTCCTGCCATTTCGCTGTTTTGCGCTGTCCACGTTACTTGACCTCCTTGTTTCTGGTAAGACCATCCACTTCCATCTTGTCCTAGACTCCAAACTACGTAAGCATTTGATCCTGGTTCAATAGTTGGTGGTGTTAGAGGAGGAGTAATCGAAAAAAGAGGTCTGGGGGTAGTCGACATTTTCAGTGTGGTTGAAGGTTTAGCAGTTGTCTTGAGGGTTGACGGGGAAGGTTTAGGAGTAGTCTCTAATTCGGGTGGTGGGGTGGTTACTCGATTGCTTTCCATTTCTGGAAACAAATTGAAATATTTAGCTTTAGATATCACCATACTGTACAATTTACATGTTTTAAATTCATTATCAAATGAAATTTTTTTTTATTTTTAAAAACGAGTTTGTAGTTATTTGTTATTTTCTATTGATGCGTATCCTATAATAATAGCATCTTCGAAATTGCATTTGGTTATTTTTTTAAATGCTTTAATTTTCAAATTAATGGAGCTGTGTTTTCGTATCGCAATTGTTGTAATTAAATAGAATGTGGATGATAGATTAACATTCATAAAAAAACATGGTTGTATTATCACAATTTATACATTGCGATGTGACTTTTCTTTTTAAACCCGAGTGAATTTTGCTAAGTTACGCAAATATAAAATCTAAATTTTAAAAAAAATTTACTTACCATTGTTTCTTTTCCAATTCTAAAATTTTACTTTTGTAATAGCTGTTATTAATAGTAACTAATAAATAAATGAATTATATCACAGAAGGTAAAGTACACATACATACACTCGTCAAAATGTTCCCTGTATTGGATTCTATCACTCTAAATTTAACTCACCATAACTCATGTGCTTTAAAAATGGTGCAACAATTGATATAAAAATGAATTATATCACAGAAGGTAAAGTACACGTGCGTACACCTGTCAAAATGTTCCATGTATTGGATTCTATCAATCTGAGTTTAACTCACCATAACTCATGTGCTTTAAAAATGGTGCAACGATTGATCTAAAAATAATACTGGCATATAAAAGATATTAAATCGCAAGTACTAAATAAAGTATTTAAAGGTTAAAATAACGATTTTTACAAGCTGTTCAGGTGTTACTTGTTAATAAATTTTCACAAGTTATATTTTTACTTAAGTTCCTAACTAATAGTGTTTTTGAAATAATGTTAAAATATTTACTTCTTTAAAAGCATATTAAAAATCAGCAAAGGTTTCTAAAGTTGATACTGAATAATTTTTCTCTGAATTATTAAGCTGTAAAATTTATTATTACCTATTTCTCTTTAAAAATATATTGGATTTTTAGTACTCACCTTCATATTGAAATAATGGTTCATCTGTTTTGAGTGATTGGAACTCATCTGTTTCAGATACGTCATCAAATTCCACAAATTCATTTTCAAATCCACCTTCATTAGTGTAATTAAATCCTTCAGTGAAATCTACCAATTCAGTAACAGTTGTTAATTCCGTTGTTGTTTGTCTTGGAGTGCTAGTTGTTCTAGAGATTGGTTGTTGATTAGTTGTTCGAGAGATCTTTTTCGGAATGTCTAACTCAATGGCTGTAATAACCTGGCCATATTCTCTTGTCACAAAGAAGGGTTCCTCTGTGGTGGGGATTTTCTTATCAATTATTTTTGCTGCTGAAGGTGGTTTTATGGACTCTTCTTCTACTTGTGAATTAAAATCTTGAATATCATTATCACTATTTTCTTTAATAGATGAATTAACTTTTAGGCGATTAAACCTGTGTGTATTTCTGTTCCTCAAATAATTTGTTGGTCCTCTTAGTTTTGAGGCAAAGTTTTTCTCGGTTTTTTCAGTCGATATTGTAGGGGAGAGAGTTGTGTACTTATTTTTGGTCCAAGACACTCTTGTTGGAGTTGTTGTTTTATTCGCTCTTGTACGAGATCTTATTTTTGGAGCAACTGATGTTTTACGTAAGTATCTATCGTTGTTCCCTGCAGAATATTTTACTGTAGTTGAGGTTTGTTTAGGTACATCCGTGGGTTTTGTTGTTATACGATTACTTTCATTGTTCCAAGTTAATCTAGTTCCATTTCGTGTCCGTCGTCTGATACCAGGAAGAGGTGACCTAGTACTTTTTCGGGGTATTTCTGTCACTAATTGTTTTTTCTCCTTAGTAGTTTCAGCTATTTCTACGTCTTTGTTTTCTGTATTTAGGCTGGTAGACTTAGTTGAAGGGAGAGCTGAAGTAGATTTTATTTCTCTCTGAAAGTCACCAGTGTTTGATAAATCTGTTACAGTTTCATTTCTTATTCTCCGTCTCATGCCTGGGAGTGGGATTCTATTGTTTTTACGAATTTTTTCGGTTTCCAATTTTAATCCTCCTTTAATATCTTCGTTAATTTCCACCATGTCATTTTCAGTATCTTTTTCAATAGTCTTGTTCAGTGGCGGATCCATAGTGGATTTCGTCTCTTTTAAAAGATCTTCAATATCCGAAGCCTCTGTGGTAGTACTAGGAGCTTTTGTGGTCTTAATTTTCCTTCGGAAAGAAATGGGAGGTTTTGTGGATCTGTTGAGGCTAAAAAGCTTGGATTTTTCTGTGGAAGAAGTCAAATCTGTGGTTGTCCTTATGGTGGATGTTTTCAGTTGAATTGCTGGACTTGTAGTAACACTCTCTGATAAATTTTGAGAAATTAAAGTTGAAAGCTTCATCGGAAAAAGGGAAGTCTTTCTTGTGCCTGGTCTTAGTAGTTTTCCTGGTTTCTTTCTTCTGGAAGAATCAAGCCAAAAACCTGGTCGTGATCCAGGCACCAAAGGTTTGAAAGAAGGCTCTTCTTCTTGACCTAATAGGTAAAATATTTTTTAGAAAGCTTTTTTTTCTCACTTTCAACTTATATAAATGATAATTTAAACAATGAGTTTCTTTTAAGCTGATCTTCTATTTTTTCTCATGTGTTAAAAACTATTAGTTTTACTGGAGCTACTATCAATAAATGAATGCTATTTAAAACATTTATTACAGTTTATTTATTTCAATATAATTAAGAAATATATATTTAAATCTAATAAGTAATTTTATTTTATTTATTTAATTATAAAATAACTTTTCCCTTCATTTTTTTTAATTAAAATTTTAAAAAAATAATGATGCGTTATTTGAATTACGTTTTAAAGAACGATTCTGGAAAGAAATGATTTAGTGTTTCATATTGTAGTTAATACAGTTGAGCTGTTCTACAGTTTTTGAATCATAAAACTTCAAAAATTGAAAAAGGTTATGTACCGTCATCAATGAAAACACTGTCTTCCTTAGATTCAGCGACAGCGATTTCTTCATCAAGTTGAGTAGGTTCGGTTTGTGTTGTTGATCGGCGAGAAATAGTTGATCTTCTCCATGTTATTGAAGACCTTGTTGTTGAAAAAGGTTCCTCTCGTACATCAGGAGATGTTGTCGATGATGGCCTACTAACTCGACGCCATTTCACAGATGATTTTCCTTGGGCTGTCACTGTCAGTAAAAGTGCTAATGCTATTGTGCATGATATCTGTAGGAAAAAGTAATAGACGTTGGACAATAAAATGGATAAAATTCGAAGAAAAAAGAGATGTGTGGGATCTACGGCGGGAATAGAACTCTTAACAAGTTTCTTCGAAGTTCACCAAGGAAAATAAAAAAGCTACGGATTAAGTGCCTTACACTTGTATAAAGCTATAATTTTAAACTGTATATCATCTCACCGTGAAGAATTATTTGATCTTGAAAACAGAGAAATAATATAAATATTATTGAACTTTTTAAAAATCTCAAATTTGGGGAAAGTTTTCCACCTAGACTAACGAAATAGCTGCCTTATTTTCAATTTGTACAAATGGAGTACGAATTTTTGTATGAGCCCAGATAAGGCAGCACTGGAGTAGGCTTTTGAATATTAAAAAAATAGACCACAAATGCTTTTCTATTTCACAAAGCTGTGACTTTTCTCCATATTGACGTTTTGCGCCATTTTCAGAATAAGTGTGCTGGCTTTAGATAGACTAAACTTAACCTAACGATCACGAGTAACTGTTGCAAACTCACAGCAGTTATGAAAGCAGAATATTACTTGCAAAAAAGCATCCTTTCATATGGCGACGGAGTCTTCGAAAAACAGCTTTAACTGTCGATCGTCACAACAAAGGCTCAGCTGTCCCAGCTAAAGTTTCAATACAGCTAAGTGACTTCATTAGACATTTGCTACTCTATTATAAGAGACAGGTAAAAGCAATTACAATTCGGGTAATATTGATTAGCATTTATCAATATTAAAACTTCTTAGTTATTGTCCAATAGTGTAAAAACTTTAATGATCTTGATTTATGTTATTAGTCCGACTTTTTTAATGTTACTTGTAAAATATATTTGTACCAACTATACTTTGTTTGATCATTCTCAAATTACCCCCAGAGTTTAGGGAATTAGGGTTATCCCCAGAATTTTTTGAATTGTCCTACAATTAATGATATTAAGGCAATTAAGATATCGAAGACAATTAATCTAACCATCTTTACCTACAAATGAATGTAAAGAATATAGAACAGAAAAATATGTGAATGTACGAAACATATTCCTTATTTTTGATTTTGGGTTATGAATTAATAAAGAGGGGGAAAATAAGAAATTATAAAACTGTCACGAGTAGCTTACTTTACAATCTAATACAATTATTTATTATAGTTAATAAGTAATACATTAAATTAAAGGATAAATTAATTTGTTCCACATTTACTCATTCAATATAAAAAATTTCTGGAAAAAAGTCACCGAGATAAAGCCGAATTACGCCACATTATTTGATTGTAATGTATTTCAAAGACCTCTTTAATGCACCAATTAACAATCATTTTTTTATTAAATATGTTTCAAAATAATGTCATATATACATATGCTTTTTGGTGCAAAGTGGTAAAGAAAGAAAACACTCTTTAACGCATAGCACAATTGTAACTTTCAATACACATAGTCATTTTTCGTTATAAAAAATATGTAAATAAATAAAATGTGCGAACAAAATTATTTTAAATAATATGGTTACATTTAAGTAATATAAGCATAGGGTATTTAATTATCCACCCAACTGACAAAATATAACTAATAGATAAATTAGTTTTTTATTATAAAATTTTGAAATTAAATAAAAATGTATTATTAGCACTTTTTATTTTGAAGCTTTCCATCTTAATATAATTGTTAAAAATAATCCATTTAACATTATTAAAAATTTATTAATTAAAACATCTTTAATATTGTTATGTAAAAATTTTGTCATTTTTGTCAAGCATTACTAAGGAAGGCTTAGAAACATGAAGGATAAAAAGGTTTTTCAACTTTCAGAAATTAAACATAACATTTCGAAGAAAAAATATATACTTAAAATATGAGATAAAGTTTAAACTTTGTGATAAGCTGATTATTATTTTTACTCATTTATTAGCGCTGTCTAGCGAATTCCAATGAATTGAATTTTTATAGATTGTTTTAGAGCAACCAATTTTTAATCACTTGCAATTTCTTATTCAAAGCAGTTTTCATAATTTTTCTCATAAAAAATAAATAGCTTTATTTTTTAGTCTTACTTAAACTTTACTTAAACTTATTTTCTTTATTCAAACTTTGTATAAAAATTTTAAACTTACATTTAAATAAATTAATAAATAAGTATATTAATGTTGAAAAGCTACATTTATGTTACATTTGAAACATTTCTATTCTAAAATTAATAAAATATTATTCAAGTAAAAATGGAATGAAATTTAAACTAAGTCATTAGCTGTAACATTATTTCTCATGATTTAGCACTGTTCTGGAAGCTTTTAAATACAATTTCGTTTCGTTTCGTTTTTTTTTTTTTTTTTTTTTTTTTTTTTTTTTTTTTTTTTTTTTTTAATTTAATGTTTTAAGAGAAGGTGAGGTGAACGCCAAAGTTATAAACGGCTGTTTACATTATTAAAATATAAATAATGTTTATAAAATTTGATCTACTTTAGATCTATACTAGAACTAACTTTTGCTTCTTTTAATTGTTATAAGTTATCCCCTGGGTGTTATAGCTCAAATAAATCCATTCCTAAGCATAACAACCTTTTGACACAGCAACATGAGATCCCCATCGCTTTCTTTTTAAAATAAAATGAGATAAGTTCTATCTTATAGCTCACACACAAATAAATAATGAATAAAGAGATTCTACTTTTAACTCTTATCGGTGTAAAAGAAAGCAAGTTTTATCCATGGCTCTAGTTATGTAATCCATATGAAACTTACCAAAGACTTCATTATCCAGTATGGCACACGGTGTCCGAGAAGGTGTTACTTTGTGTCCGAGAACTCGTGATTCTGCTTCTGTCATCGTTCACACCAGCTTTATGATTAACTTGTGGAATCTCGTCTTGATTCCACAGGGTCCTGTGCTGCAGTCACGCCTAGTCTCAGAATGCAGAAGTTACTGGCCGCGAATCTCCAGTAAGAGATGCCATAACTCAGAACAAAAGAAAACAGATTCGATACGGTATAATGACATCCAGATCAACAAAAACTTCACTAAAAGTAGAAAGGCGGAGCTCCTCCACAAAGAGATTCTTTTTCTCTGGAATTCATATTCATGAGACATTTTATGAAGATCCTGAATGGAGATGAAAAGAAACAATCAATGATGCGACTTTTTATTCGGACTCTCATGTTTCTATTGGTATCATTTACACCTCATTTCTGAGCTTTTTTCGTGTCATCGTCGGGCTCATAATTTTGACCAAGTCGTGCCGTTTAAGTTTTTTTTCTTCGGCATGACGGCTAAAAATAACATGTTTTACTTTTTTTTGTTAATGTGTTTAGTTTCTTAGTTTAGTCTGTCGTTAGTTTCTTAGTAGACACCCTCAAAAAGGTGTCATTTGCTATAAAACTAACTTTCTGGAATTTTTTGCTCGAAAAACCAATATTTAAACCCCGCTCCAAGCTGCAAAGTTTTTAAAATATCGTGAATTTTCTCAAAAAAATGGGATATTTTCCGCTATAAAATCCGAACGGGTAGATGCGGAAACATAAACCTGTCCTTAATTTGTAGAAAATGCTTTTAGTTAAAGCTTTATAACTAAAACGTCTTTCTCAAATGAAAAAAAAAAGTGTTTTTCCTAACGCCACCCCCAAAAAGTTGATTTTTTAAGGAAAGAGAAAATTTTTGTGCATTTGGTAACTACTGTAAAATGGTTTAATTAAGAAACCATATATAAAAATTCTTTAAAACGAGATTGTCATAAAATGCCAAATTTAAAAAAGAGCAAATTTATGAATAAATGACTTTATTTCTGATAATTTAATCATTGATAGAAAATATAGAACTATAAACTTCGATAAAAATAGCAAATTTAACAATCAGAGTAAATTTAATCTTTTTCAACTTTTAAAATTAAAAAAATCGCAGAATCATAGAATTGAAGGTTATGAAAGAGTAATAGTTATTTTAGTTTCCAAACTATATATTTTTTATCCAATCCATGTTCATCATGTGACAATGTTTTGAAGGCATTTTCATTTCTTTTCCAAGGTTTATTAAAAAAAAACTCGAGAGAAATTAATCGAGAATATGTTTCGTGCATATATAT